GCCTAGTGGCATTTGACCTTCTTTCTGGCGTTTACACAGTATCGGTTTGGCTTTCACCAATAATGGATGAGAATTCCTAGCCTAGATGTTGTGAGCAGAAGATTTAGTAAAAGATAAAAAAATTACCTGGCTTATTGCAAGTGCAAAATTTCCCAATTTTATTTTTGATGAAATTTTCTATGGCAATTCTTACAATTTGTCGTCTATACCGGTCAGAAGTCAGTTTTCTTACCGAGTCGTTTCCGTGTTTCGATATAAGCGTCAGGGGGTCTTTAAAAAACGTAAAATATCTCTGTTTAATGAAATTTTTAAAATTCAAACATTTTGCAGAAGCATTTTCGGCAAAAAGGAGTAATCTTGAAAAAAATAATCACCCAGCTTTTTTGATTATAAAAAATCTTTTCTTCTGAGCTAAGAAAGAACATTTCGCTATTTTTAGAGAATTCTTTGGAGAGGATTTCAGCGTTAGAGGTTCAGAAAAAGCAACAAATTCACGAGTATTTTTATTATTACTTGACACTGAAATGAGTTTCAACCGCAAAATTCAACTCCCTTGATAATTAATTATAAAACTGAACACACTTCATGAGTAATGACAAAATTTAACTCACTTTATAATTAATCATAAAACTGAACTCAGTTGATGATTAATCATTGAAATTGAACTCACTTAATGATTAATCACAAAATTGAATTAATTTAATGATTAATCATAAACTTGAACCCATTTAATGATTAATCATAAAATTGAACTCATTTGATGATTAATCATATACTTGAACTCATTTAATGATTAATCATAAAATTGAGCTCATTTGATGATTAATCATAAAACTGAACTCAATGATTAATCATAAAACTGAACTCATTTGATGATTAATCATAAAAATGAACTCAATGATTAATCATAAAAATGAACTCAATGATTAATCATGAAACTGAAGTCAGTTGATGATTAATCATAAAAGTGAACTCATTTGATAATTAATTATTAAAATAGAACTCACTTGATTAATCACAGAGTAAAACACTTCAGAAAGTATATACTGAGATCACTTACACATAATGTATAATCTTCTGAACATAAAGAATAATTCACAAAAATATATATATATATATATATAAAAAAGAAAAAAATCTTATATTTTAAAGTACACATGTTTGAGTAAACGGCTCTATTTTGACAGTTTTATTTTTTAATAATATATTTTCGTCTACTGATCAGATTTTAAGAGTCTTTAATAAAGATAAATATCATGCCCTTCAGCAAAAGAATCTAATAATAATTTTCTTTTTTTCCTTTATTAAATATAAGAAAAAACTCGTGATGTCTACTCAAACTATGTTAAAAAACTATATATATATATATATATATATATATATATATATATATATATAATACTTTCAAATTTATATCCATTAAAGTAACATTTATAATAATAATAATAAATCGTACATATATATATAATATATTTAAATGTTTATACGTTATTTTTATGGATACACTTATTTATTTAAATTTATTTTGCTATTTCTTTTAACTAAACAATATTAAATACATTTTCCGGCCTGAATGTTCGAGAAAATTTCATAGAAAAAATTAAAACAGAAATATAGGGATCGAATCTGTATCCTATACTGAACCATTCATAAATGATGGTCAATTTAGCCACATAGAACTTCCGGTTTTGAAATTAGCTCTAATATTGCTTTTAAGCCGGAAGTTCTCTGTTGCTGAACGGTCATTCAGCGTTCGTGATTTTAATAAAAGAAAAAAAAAATGGTTTATGACAGAAGAAATCTATTCTTAGACCATTAATTTATTTTTAAATTATGTAGGCTACCATGATCCAATAACAACTGTTTGTTCATTGCTCAGAGAAACAGATTAACCTTGAATACAAGTTCTATATAATTCAAAGTAGTTGAATAAATATGTATTATGGTTTGGGATTTTTGTTTTGGGGAGGAAAATTAAACAAACTATTAAATATTTAAAATATCATGCTGTTGTATATATTGGTTCATTTTTTTCTTCTGTTCTAGGAATGATCTCGAACAATAATCTTTCGTTGCATTTTTTTGTTTTCTTATTATCTCTGGTCATCGTGTGAAACTGTTGTCTTATAGTGGGTTATCAGTTATAGTGAAGTGTATGAGTGTGGAAACAGGTTAATTTGATTTGGCCTTGTTAGTTAGACAGCCCACCATAAGAGGGGTATAAAACAAGAAAATCAAATTGTAAAGTGAAACAACAAATTTATATGCTTATAAATCAATTAAGGTCTTTACAATAAAATTAATGTATTTTGGTTGATACAAGATCGTCAAAATGTTCGTAGTAGTCCTTGCAAGAATGAGTTTATGTGTACGTAGACAGGAACGTATGTGTGTATGTATGAGCGTTATCGTAGGGTAGGAATGTCTTTGAAGTAATCGCTCAGTCTTAAAATGTTCCTTTAGTTTATCAAGTATAAAAGAGGTGAGGGAGAAGGGTAGAGATAATAATAACGATCGCTTGATGTTGTCAAGGGATTTGTTAATACGCTCGTCTCCTTCTCTCTGGTGACAAGCGAACTTGCCCGTCTTTTATTTTGTTTGTGGGGCTTCAAAAAGTCATTTGAGAATTCACTCCCGGATATGATTCGGCCCTTTTCAATGGACGATGAACAAATTTTTGCGTCGGCTCGCGAAAAGGTCCGTGAAAGAATTTGTTTCTGAGAATTGAAGATTATTTGAATTTTGTTTTTAAATGTTTCCTAGTTTTCTATTGGTCGAAAAACATTTCGCATCAAGGTGTGAAATTTTACGAGTTTTGTTTTCGATTCGCTTTTGCGTGTGTGTTAAGCAAAGTTTGTAAATTCGAGTCTTTTTAATTTCTAACAAAATCAATGAGTCAGTGCTTAGCATTTGAATTTTAAATTTAGATCTTGTTTTGTTCACTATAGTCTAACGTTATTGAAATTTTATTTCAGACTAGCAGTAGAGCCCAGCGTTGCCCGGAGATGTAACAGTAAGAGATAGATCAAGTATCGAGCCTCATAAAGACTGAAAAATAAAATTGACAAAGATTATTGTTTAGGGTTGACGGACATGCATGTCTTAATTAGTTTTTTTTTTTGTTTTGTTTTTGTTTTGTTTTTTTACAAATTGGTCAAACCCAAACTCAAACAAAAACATTGTTTTCAATCATTATGAGTCTACCGATTGAATAGAATTTTATTATAAACAATTGTCTTGTAAATGGAATTTTTAAAGTATTCTGAATGTAAAAATAAAGAAAAAAGTGTGCAAGACAATAAGAAACACTACCTGCCATAAAAATAGTGAAGTTCTGTTGAAATCGGTTGAAAAATGTAGGAAATCCGATCCCATATATAAACGAACACACACACACAAACAAGCTGGGTTTTATGATAAGTATAACTCGATATGAGTTGTCCCCCATTTCATTCTCGCGATGCCTCTTAATCGTGTTTTCAAATTGATTTCGTGCAAAAACAATTGTGTTTTCCAATTTTTGGCGCTGTCAGAACCACCGCAAGATAATTTTCCGTAGTCCTGTGAAGTTTTGTTGAAATCGGTTGAAAAATGTAGAAAATCCGATCCAATATATAAACGTACACACACATAATAAGTATGATGATAATTTTATGTTTTTATTGGTTTTATTCTTTTCTTATTTATTGATTCGTTTCTATTATTGTGATTAAAGTAATGAGTCAATAATGGTACATTTGATAACAAATTGTTCACTCCGACATCCAGTATAAAATATATAAGATCGTTCCTTGTGATCGAGGGCTTACTTGTCACAGTGATTCCAAGAGTGAAGCTGTCTGGAGTTCCAACTCCTGTAGGGCCATCCATGGCGGTAAGGTCGAAGAGAAAGGAGCAGACTGAACGCGACCAGCCAGCAAAAACCCCAAACGGCGGCAAAGATTGACATGATCTCAACGGCCAAGACAAGCGAAGAGGTTAGCACCAGTTGGACTGGCGTAACCAATGCGGACCTTGACAGAGCAAGCATTCAAGAGATCCATGCAACCAGGTTTCGATAGATCTTGCCTGCCTTTGAGCCGCGGGAGAGACACTTCTGGCCAAGTGTGTAGGCTTCTCCGTCGCGTAGAGGTGTCCACTAAAATCAAATTCACGCGACTGGCTTCGTCAAACTCTCACAGTCATCTACGCTACCGCCACAAGATGAGAGAAAGGGCATAGGAAAAGAGGATGACAGTCACGATGCGAGTGGGTGCCGACAACAAAAACATGCAGAATAGATTCAACATTCTTTGTCCAACTAAAAGAAAATCTGTAAGGATACTGAAAAAACTGAATAAAAAAAAAACTTACAATTTTTTCATTGTCCGTCGTATTCAACGAAACATATATAAAAGATGAACTGCTACCCAGATAACAAAAATACATTAAAGAAACTAGATATATGTTCTTTGATTTGATGTTTATCTCTATTTAAATTTTGGATTAAATCTTGAATCACAATTTGAAGCTATGTAATTTTTAATGCACTCTACACTAGCTTAAAGATTTGCTCACTAACATATTAACATACACGGTTTTGGTATTAACGATCATTTTCTTACACTAAATCACCTTTTAATGTTGGAGCCAAAATCAAAGAATTTGTTTCGATATTTAACCGCTGTAATATGGCTGTGTTTGCTTTGAAGTCATGCCAACAAAATAATATTATTTATATAAATGCATAATGTGATTATGCAAGTTCTTAGAAAGAAAGAAAGAAATTTGGTTTAAGAAAAATATTTTAATTAGAAAGAAAGAAAGAAAGCTGGTTTAAGGAAAATATTTTTAATAAGAAAAAAGAAAATGGTTTAAGGAAAAATATTTTTAATAAGAAAAAAGAAAATGGTTTAAGGAAAAATATTTTTAATAAGAAAGAAAGAAAGAAAGAAAGAAAGAAAGAAAGAAAGATTGAAAGAAAGATGGAAAGAAATTTGGTTTAAGAAAAAATATATTAATTAGAAAGAAAGATTGAAAGAAAGAAAGATTGAAAGAAAGAAAGATGGAAAGGAATTTGGTTTAAGAAAAAATATTTTAATTAGAAAGAAAGAAAGAAAGAAAGAAAGAAAGATTGAAAGAAAGAAAGATGGAAAGTAATTTGGTTTAAGAAAAAATATTTTAATTAGAAAGAAAAGAAAGAAAGAAAGAAAGAAAGAAAGAAAGAATCTTGCTTTAAAGGGAAAATATTTTTAATAACAAAGAAAAAAGATGGAAAAAAAAAATAGTTTTAATAAATGTGAAAAGAAAGAAAGAAAGATGGAAAGAAATTTGGTTTAAGAAAAAATACATTAATTAGAAAGAAAGAATGATGGAAAGAAAGAAAGATGGAAAGAAAGAAAGATGGAAAGTAATTTGGTTTAAGAAAAAATATTTTAATTAGAAAGAAAGAAAGAAAGAAAGAAAGAAAGAAAAATCTTGCTTAAGGAAAAATATTTTTAATAACAAAGAAAAAAGATGGAAATGTGGTTTAAGAAAAATAGTTTTAATAAGAAAAAGAAAGAAAGAAAAAGAAAGAAAGAAAGAAAAGAAAGAAAGAATGTTTGTAGGAAAAAATACAAAGATCAGTATCTGTAAAAGAGAATATTCTTATGAAGTTTCTTTTTATATCTTATTGAAAACTCGGAAAAGTTGAAAAAAGAAAATATTTATAGAACGCTAAAATATTTGCTGTATATTCTCGAATTCCAGGCAAAATCTTCAATGATTGTTTTTCTTAGACAAATAAAAACATAAACAAAATGTATTATGTAGAGTATTTGGCATTGGCGTAGAAAATACACAGAACATCGGAGAAATGTAGAAGGAAATTAACGGACAACGAACACCGATCAAGATGGAGGATATCGGTAAAACGTAGGAAGAAATGAAAGAGCCAGAGGAGAAAGATGAGATAGAGAAGGAACAATGATGAATATGTCGAGGAAATGAAAGAAGCAGATGAGAAAAATGAGACAGAGAAGGGAAATGGACTGTGTGTAAGATATTAGTGAAACGTATGGAGAAAAGTTGAATGAGAAAAATGTGACGAAGGGGGAAGAACGGCTAATATGGAGGATAATGGAGAATTGCAGGAAAACATGAAAGAATCTAGCAAAAAAGAAAATAGGGAACAAAAACCAGCATGAAGAATAGTATGAAGAAACAAAAGACATATATACTAAAAATGAGATCGAAAAGGTAAAACAGTATACTGGATAATTATCAATGCTATCACATCTGGTCTGAAGCTTCTGCTATATATTTAGAGATTCCTGATAAAATCTAAAGAAGAATCTGCAATGTTATCAGTCCTGACCAGGCATCTCGGCTTTAATCGCCTTCCCACTGCCGCAACGTAGCTTCCCTTTTCTATAAATATTTTTATGCTAATTGTTCTAAGCTTAAGTGCAGTACCAGATTGGCAGATAGGTCTCATCATTTTACAGTTCAAATTGCTAGATGTAACCGTAAGTTCTATGCTAACAGTTTCTTCTCTCGCACTTCTCGCTTGTGGAAGCTCTCTTCCAGCTTTTTGATTTCTAGTCAACTTTGATCTTCAAAAATCTAAATACAATTTCAATCGTTATCTTCTGTCTTCTTCTTAATTCCTGTTTTTTTTTTATTGTTCTCCCGCCTTAAAAATGTTTTTTTCTTTTTCTCATATTCTTTCACAGTAACGCATTGCGTCTTAGTGGTTTAATTGCCTTGCTTGGGGGGAAATTATTAAAACAAACTTGTATGAAGAAAGTCAAAGAAGCAGGCTAGAAATATGTGATGAAGGAACAATTGGATGGATATATGAGAAACTAGGAAGAAACAAGAAAAATAAGAGTCATGGAGAAAGAACGAGAGGTAGAGATACTGAAGAAATATACGAAGAAAGAAAATAAAGGTTTGAGAAAAAGGGGAAAAGAAGGAAAACAACGAAGATAGAGAATCATAAAAAAAACAAGAACGATTATCTGAAGAAGGAATAAAAACCAATAAAACTGATATTTTGGGGGAGGGAGAAACGTAGAAAGAATCGAAATAGCAGACGATAAATATCAGTGGATAGCGAACAAGAAAGAACCAATATGGAGGATATCGAAGAAATGTAGGAAGAAATGAGCGAATCAGACGAGAAAGATTGGGTGCAAAAGGAGCAACAACCAATATGGAGGAAATTGGAGAAACCTATAAAGATGCGAAAGAAACAGAAATGTTGCGGTGAAAGCGGCAAACAAAATGGACAATATTGGAGAAACGTATAAATCAACGAAAGAACCACGCGAGAAATGATGAGACGAAAAAAAGTACATTAGTCAGTTTGGAATCAACCGGAAAAACGAAAGGGGGGAGGAAACAAAAAACAGAAGAGAAAACAGGAGATGGAGAAGGAACAATAACGAATATGTTGGGTATTGCAAAAATTTAGGAGAAAATTTAGGCTAAGATGAAGTGGAAATGGAAAATATTGGGGTAACGCATGAATATACGAAAAACCAAAAACGTCGAAGTGAAAAGGAAACAATAGCCAGTATGGAGGATATTGGAGAAACGTAGCAGAAAGGAAAGAACAAAGCAAAAAAGACAAGGCTAAGATGGAAAAGATGGCCAACATGTCGGATTTTGGAGATTGATTGATGGATGTTTTACGGTTTATCAATCTTTTGCGGGTTATTTAAAGCCAGAAAACATTTTTGTTTTATAGTGTAATAACGTTTTGGACATAATTTATTTATACAAGTCCTACTGATTAACCCATAGCTTGGAGGAGAACAGGTAGATTCATACCTTTTCCAAGAGTATTTGCGTGTAAGCGAATAAATAAAAATAAAATTGTTCATTTGTCTTTGTAACATTGTTTTTTTAAATCCACTCATCAGGAGCATGATAGCAGGATTTTTTTAAAATTATATTTATATATTACAACACTTTTGCTGTATATTTATGTTTCTCTCGTTGTCTCTCTCTCCCTCTGTCTCTGTCTCTCTGTCTCTTACTCTCTATCTCTCTCTCTCTCTCTCTCTCTCTCTATATATATATATATATATATATATATATATATATATATATAAAATATTATTTGACAATTAGTAGGATAATTCCAAAGATGATATAAATACAAAGAGAGCTCAATGTAAGAACAGAGCAAATATAATAATGATGAAAACGGAGACTTTAGAAATCAAGTCTGATCGCGTGAAATAAATTATTACTATGGATTTCTAAAGTATTTCTAAAGTATATATATATATATATATATATATATATATATATATTAGAAATATTTTAGAATATATATATATATATATATATATATATATTATTTTATATGCGCAGTACTTAGTGGAAAGCGCTCAACATCAGTGATAGAGCTAACATATTCTGTTGTATGGATGATCGCAAAAGCGTGAAAACCAAGGTCACAAACTCATATCCATATTAACTGAATATATATATATATATATATATATATATATTGAGAGAGAGACAGAGGCTGGACTAAAAGATAGAAGCAGTTTCTGATTGATGTGATGTTCCCAAGCTGTCACTCGGTACTAACCAGGCTAGACGTTGATTAATTTCGGTAATCGAGCAAGAGCCGGTGTTTCAACGTGACATAGCCGTAATTCCGGATATTAGAAAAAGAACCAGATGCTTAATATAAAACGGAGAAAGTACAATGTAGGAAATGAAGAGTGGCCAATATGGAGGATATTGAAGAAATTTAAGAATAAAAGAGTGAAACAGATACGAAAGATGAGGTGGAGAAAAGCTCTTTTTTTATAACTAAAAGCATTCATTTCCTTTATTTTGTGTCTTTAACAGTAAAAGACAAATTCTGCCCAACACCCGACCTCAAAACTTCTGAGTTACAACCAGAAAACGTTTTCGAAAACAAATAGTTCATCATCTAAGTCATAAAAAAGAACTGAATCTCCGTAATTCAAACACTGTCTGCGTGAGACGCTACATAATAGTATATAATGTAAAACACTGGATAATGCATTCCCCTCCGACTCAGTCAGAACAGCCTCTACCCAGGGCTGAACAAGAAAATCATAAATTTGGGAACATGAAAAAAAACTTGGAAATTAAACATTGTAATAATATATTCACCTCCGACTCTGTTAGAACATCCTCTACCCTGGGTTGAGCAAGAAAATCATAAATTTGGAGATAAAAAAAAATCCTTTTCTAATAAAATGGAGTAATACAGCTTCATTCGACTCAGTCAGGACAGCCCCTACCATGGGCTGATCAAGAAAATCATAAATTTGAAGACAAAAATCCTTTTCTAATAAAATGTTGGAATAATACAGGTTCCTCCGACTCAGTCAGAACAGCCTCTACCCAGGGCTGAACAAGAAAATCATAAATTTGGGAACATGAAAAAAAACTTGGAAATTAAACATTAGAATAATATATTCCCCTCCGACTCTGTCAGAACAGCCTCTACCCTGGGTTGAGCAAGAAAATCATAAATTTGGAGATAAAAATAAATAATAATATTATAAAAAATATGGGATAATATAATAAAATGGAATAATACAGGTTCATTCGACTCAGTCAGGACAGCCCCTACCATGGGCTGATCAAGAAAATCATAAATTTGAAAGACAAAAATCCTTTTCTAATAAAATGTTGGAATAATACAGGTTCCTCTGACTCAGTCAAAACAGCCACTACCCTGGGCTGAGCAAGAAAATCATAAATTTGGAATTTTAAAAAAACGTTGAAATAAAATATTAGAATAATAAATTCCACTCCGGCTGAATCAGGACAGCCGCTGCCCTGGGCTGAGCAAGAAAATCATCAATTTGGAGACAAGAAGAAAACATCTTCTAATAAACAATTGGAATAAAACATTCCCTTCCGACTCTGTCAGTATAGCCTCTACCCTGGGCTGAGCAAAAAAATCATAAATTTGGAGATAAAAAAAATCCTTTTCTAATAAAATGTTGGAATGATACAGGTTCCTTCGACACAGTCAGGACAGCCCCTACCCTGGGCTTATGAAGAAAATCATAAATTTGGAGACAAAAAATCCTTTTCTAATAAAATGGAATAATACAGATTCATTCGATTCAGTCAGGACAGCCCCTACCATGGGCTGTCAAGAAAATCATAAATTTGAAGACAAAAATCCTTTTCTAATAAAATGTTGGAATAATACAAGTTCCTCCGACTCAGTCAGAACAGCCACTACCCTAGGCTGAGCAAGAAAATCATAAATTTGGAAAGTAAAAAAAAAAACATCTTGAAATAAAACAATGGAATGAAACATTCCCCTCCGACTCAGACGGGTCAGCTTCTGTGCAGGCTGTGTGATACAGACGCCAGGTGGCTATCCATTTTAGGAAATCTGAGGTGTCTAAAACAGAGTTTAAGACTTCATCAGATAAAAATAATATAATGTGAGTTTTTTTATACCTCTGTCCGTATATATAGGTATATATCTGTGCGCCCAACTCACAATAGAATGTGACAAAGGGCCTAAATATAACTTGAGTTTTTCGGCAAAACGGTGGACAAAATTGCACAATCCTCCTAGGCAATTCCCTTTTTGGGAGATGTCTCAGGCCACAACACCTTCCCTTGGGCTATGTCCGGATATAGGTATTTTTCACTGCGCCCACATCACAACCGAATGTGACACAAGGTCAGTTTAAATCGGCTTTACCAACAATACCGGGGAGAAATTCCCCAAGCCCTCTCGGTAATTCCTCTTTTGGGGACGCCTCAGGCACTGGGTAAAGACCCCAGGCTGTTTCCATATGAGAGGTACTGCTTGTGAGAATGCACTCCCTCCGGGTCTATGTTCGAGTATATATGTATTTTTTAGTGCACCCACATCACTATCGAATTTGACACAAGGTCAGTTTAAATTAAGTTTTTACGGCAATATCGTGGAAAACTGCTCAAGCACCCTCGGTACATCTTTTGGGGACACCTCAAGTATCGAGTAATGGCCCAGTTCCCTTCCTTTAACTCAAGTAAAGAACATTTTTACTCCTTTCTAACTCTTTTGAATTCATTTGTATATGTTTTGAAATGCAAATGATTCATCTAACAGGTATACACATGTTTTTATTTTTATTTTATTATTGTTTTTTAATATTCAAAAACCTGAATGACAGAATTTCATAGATAAATAATATATCTATATCTATATCTATCTATATATCTATATATATATATATATATATATATATATATATACATACACACACTTTTCTATAAATACTTTCATGGTAATTGTTCGAATGAGCGCTTCTCTGTGGTGCCTAGACTTTATGAATTTAAGCTCAGTACTAGACTGACGTCAAGATCTCATCAATTTACAATTGAGCCGGTTAGATGTATCCGTAAATTCTATGCTAACAGTTTCTTCTCTTGCACTTCTCGCTTGTGTCACTCTCTTCCGGTTCCATGTTTTCCCGCCAACCTTAATCTGCAAAAATTTAAATGCAATGTCAATCGCTATTTACGGTCCACCTGATTGCTATCTTCTCTTTCTGTTGATCATTAATATTTTTGTTCCTAATTCATCTACACCTTTTAAGCCCTTGTGTCTGAGTGGCATTACTGCCTTGCTTGGGGTCACTACGATTAAAAATACAAACAAACACACACACACACACTCATATCTTTAAAAAAAATAATTGTCGGACTTTGTCCATTTCATAATGTGTGACGTCATTTGTTTACATTTGGATATGCATTGAGCAGATATGAATGTATGAGAGAAAATCATAGAGAATTGTGTTTAAAAACAATAAAATCGATCTTGCTAACCGAACGCTCCTCTGTGGCTCTATCAGGGCACGTCAAGCTACATGACGGTTCCGTATAGGATACAGGTTCGATTCCTGTCGGAGGACGCATATTTTCTATGAAAATTTCTCGGACATTCAGGCTGGTAAATGTTGTTAATACTGTTTATTATAAACAGAGCATTTACTTAAATATTTGTATCTATAAAAAAGAACGTATAAACATAAAAATGTCTTAAAATATATATATATATAAATATAAAAGTAAACATAGAAGTCAACACTTAGAGGCGACAGTCTGTTTCACACACGCTCTATCTCTGATATTGAGCACTTTATCCTATAAATATAGCACATCTTAAGACTATATATATATATATATATATATATATATATATATATATGACGCCTCCAAATCCTATTTATATTCTCTTTTTTCTTTTCCTTTCACAATTCATTTCTGCAGTAACACTTTTCTTTATAATTCTTTTTTCTTGCGTTACCATTTTATGTTGCACGGAGTCCAGTAACATATTTAA